TTGAGACCGTACTCTCCATCACGAGTGCGGGTACTGACGATCTCCTCGAGCGTTGTCTTTTGCTAGGGGAACCGACATCGCAGGAGTTACAGCTGGAGGAGCAGCTCGTAGAGCTAGACGAGGCCGCAATCGAGGGGCGAGAGAAACCATTCAAGCCAATCCCTATCTCGCCCTGGATCGCCACATCATTGGAGGTGCCACCGGACCTGGAGCTTAAGCCCCTCCCCTCTCACATGGAGTATGCATTTCTCCGGGAGGGGAATAAGCTCCCGGTCATTATCAGCTCGCATCTTACACCCGAGCAGAAGAACATGATGGTGGCTCTTATGAAGAAGTATGCCCGGGCCATGGCGTGGAAGATCACAAATATTAGAGGCATTAGCCCATCCTTCTGGTCCCACAGAATTCCGATGGAGGATGAGGTTAAGCCAGTCAGGCAGCCACAGAGGAGATTGTCTCCTAACTTGGAGGCAGTGGTCCGGGCAGAGATTGTGAAGTTAATGGATGCAGAGATCATCTTTGCTATATCTAATAGCAAGTGAGTCAGCCCCACTGACACGCTAAAACACAACACCAAACTGTGACCAAGTGTAATCGCAGTCCAGGAATGCAGTAAAATCGCAGCCCCACCTGATTGCTGAAATGGCCGCACCTGTGACTGAGGAGGAACTGGCCCCTGTCTGGGCGGGTAAAGAGGTTGCTGCTACTGCTGCTGAAATTGCCCTTGTATGGGCTGGTAAGGAGGCCTCTGGAAGCCTGGCGGTCCTTGGGAGACTGGTGGTCTAGGATTGGTCCTACCCCAGGAGAAGTTGGGATGCTGACTACACCCCTCGTTGTAAGTGTTGTTCTAGGGGTCGAAACAACTGGCATTGCCAATAAAGTCCACCTGCTCATGGGGAGTAGACGACTCCCTCATTGCCTAATAGTCCTCCACGGTGTGATGGGAGCTTTCACACCACTGGCAGTGCATCGCCTGCTGCTGTCCTGTACCTGCAATCATTCCAGAGCGATCGATGGCTGAAACCAGTTTAGATACCACCTGCACCAAATCAGACGACTGGGTGGCTACAGAATGCACACCCCACCCTGGTGCTCGTCTCGATCTCCTCGCAGTTCCCCAATCATATCCCTACTTTGCCATCTCTTCAAAGAGTTGATTCAGATGTGGCGGTGTCTTGGTGAGCATATTCCACCGCAAACCGAGTCAATCAGCTGCTTGTCTTCCGGGAAGGGGGCATGGTAGAAGGTGCCCACCTTGAAGGCGTCAGTAAAACCATGGTTGGGGCACTTGAGGAAAAGACTGGTGTATCTTTCTTAAGCATCTTGGATGGTCTCATCTTCATCCTAAGCAAAGTGGGTGATTTTCTTCTGCAGGTCTGCCATCTTGGACGGAGGATGGTAATGGGTGTGGAACTTGTCCGCCAGGTTGGCGAACGTGGTGATCAAGCCTGTAGGTCGAGTGTCCAGCCACTCCTTGCCTTGCCCCTCCAAAGTGAATGGAAAGTACCTCAGCTGGATGGCATCGGCTGGAACCCCATTGATCTTGATCGGGGGGCACTCCCCCTCCTTGCCACAGAGTACCACTGAGCTGCATAGCATGGTGATGATAGAGGTGCTCACCTTAAAGTTATTTGCTGGAACTTGAGGGTGCTGGATGGGCGACCTCATGTCCGCGGCTCTAGCGGGCCAGTAATACCCCATGGTCTGCTCCTCGGGAATGACCACATCATTGTTCTGTGGGTCATCCATTTCTTCCTCCTCGTCGATTTGCAGTTGTGCTAGAGCTTCCTCCGCAGCCAGTCACGCCTTTAAAGCCCGCTTGAAGTTCCTACAAGTCCGTTCAAGCTCTTGGTCTAATGGCAGTAAATCGCCCGACTAGCTACGGGTCATGCACTACCTGCACGCAATCATCAAAAGCACCCCGTGAAGGCACACTTGTGGAAGAGAGAAATGCAGTAAAGAAAATGCTAAAGTAATAAACTTTCATGTTTCCATAATAACCTAGAGTTCCCTGGCAACGGCGCCAAAAACTTGGCACACTAAAACACAACACCAAACTGCGACCAAGTGTAATCGCAGTCCGAAAATGCAGTAAAGTGGCAAGCTATATTTGTCAACCCGGGGTCTAGATCTACTGCCTACTCTGTGATTATCTATTATCTAGCAAACTAAGTCGAGTGATTGTGATTTTAACTAAAAGTAGTAAGAAAGCAGGAAATGGTTCAAAGTTCTTTAGCAATGGAAGATTCACTCGGGAATGTCCCCCTACCTCCTTAGTTAGGTCAAGGTTGTAATTACCCTGGGTTGATTAATTTTTGATTAAACTGCGGAAGATCCGACGGTAGCTTGGAATCTCTTAAGCTGACCAAGCCCTCTCAGGCAGACTAACCGGCAGGCGACTAGCCTTCACATGGATAGACTGCTAAGGCAATAAACGCAGAACTCCACTACTGGAATTGGATTCCATTACAAAGAGTAAATAGATTAACTCTCGTATAACCAATCTACCACTACCGATTGATGAAGCTCTAACAACCTAATCAGATTCTATCTATCTCAGGTTGTAACAGAAATCAAGAAAAGATGATCAGGCTTCAATTGACTCAATGAATCATGCATCAATCGATTAAAATCAATTAGTATATCAATCCCAAGTCATTACAATCCAGATTTCTAACACATGGAACTAGGGTTCTTCATACCGAAGTGAGAGAAGGTTCTACTCCATAGAGAGAGAGAGAGAGAGGAAAATAGAAATCAGAGTAGTCAGACTCATAAAGATGAGGATAATCTGCTCTGGGATGTTGATCTTCACTCCTAGGGATGCAATCCGGGCTTCAATGGTGAGAAATCCACTCCAAATAGCTCCTAGGGTTTGTTCTTCGCACTTTCTCTCTCTAAAGCTCTGTTTTTTGCTCATAAACTCGATCCCTCTCCAAAAGGCCCAAAATTGGGTTAAAACCCAGAATTTCCCGACCACACGGCTAGGCCACACGGGCGTGTGGAATCCTAGTCTACTCGTGTGAGCTCCAAAATGCGGCTTTTCAATTAAGTGCCTCCACGAATGCTACACGGCCAGAGCTACATGGCCGTGTAGAAAACTGGCTTGCCCGTGTGACATCTCTGTGATTTCCACATGGCCTTAAGGGACCCGGTACACGGCCAGTGTGGTCTTGCCCGCGTAATGGAATTCCACACGGCCACGCCACACGGTCGTGTGGCTGCTAGGTCTGGCCGTGTGGTTTTCTCAGCTTCTCGCCAAACGTCCAACCTTCATCCAATCGACCCCGAACTCGTTCCCAAACCTCCAATCACATACTAGGACCTGAGATAACACAAACGAGAACAACCTAGCGTGAAATTGACCTAAGATACGAGAAATGAGGCTCAAATGACATAAGAATGGAGGACAAAAACATTTGTATATATCAAGTCATCAGTGACACAATTTGGCCAAGGAAGTCCCGCTTTTACAAGCCTCTTAACAGGAAGGGGATTTTCCTCTATCTAGGTCAAAATGACATAAGAATTGGAAATTCATAAACACAACACAACCTTCATGAAAATACCTCATAACTTCTATTAAAACACAACCACACCCAAGTCATTCAATCCATACAAACATTCACATAATTATAGCTAGGGTTCACAAACACCCAAGTGAAAGAAGAGACTACTCCATGCTAAGTAGAGGGAGTACACTAAGGAGAAGAGAAAAAACCATATTGAAGTTGTTTGCCTTCTTCCTTGAGGTGTGGAGATCAACCTTGGAGGAAGAAATTCCCAAAATGTTTCTCTTAGAATAAAACCCTAACTTCTTCTCTTCTCTTGTTCATCATTTTCTCACTCTAGAAATCTGAAGAAGAAGGAGTCTCTCTCACTAGGTTCTCTCATTTCTCTTTCAGCTCAGTCCTCTTTATATACCCAGATCAAAGGCATTTCAAGATCCAAGTTAACGGCCGTGAACATTGGGCTTGGACCGTGATGTCAATTAAAAGCGCACAGTTTCACTTAGTCTCTTCAGGGTCTGGAGCGGGGTTTCACGGTTAGGGATGGCAATGGGGCGGGTGTGGGGCGGGTTTGTCTAAACCATCCCCATCTTCACATATCCAAACACATACCCATCCCCATACCCGTGGGTTTCGGGTACCCATGGGTAATACCCGTACCCGTACATCCAACATTATTATCCTAAAATTTACAAGAAAAGTTTTAACTACAACTCTAAACGTACCTATTATATCACGAATTCAACAAAACACGATCATTTTCTTAATACAGTTCAAAGAATATGATCCTAAAACATTCGTTAATAAATAATATAGAATATAATATTTTTCAAATTATTATGTTGTAACTCTAACACATCTACTAAGAAATAATTAACTAACATAATCTTGTTGACAAGGGGGAAAGTGAAAGAGTGAAAGGAGAATTGAGGGAAATAAATTAGGTTTTGATTAAGGTGGTCACTCAATTACATTTCTATTATTTATTTCTTGGAGTTATACTCATCATCATTGATAGATTACAATTTGATCTACATATTTTTGTATATGTGAAGAAATTCTTTTGGTGGGGCGGATATGAGTATGAGTATGGGGCGGGGAGACTTTACCCATAGTCCCATACCCGCCCCATACCCATCTAACTTTTTGCAGGTTTTATCCATGCCCGCCCCATACCCGGTCAAAGCGGGGATTACCCGCGTTGACTGGATCGGAGACAATCGGATACCCGCGACCACAGATTTGATTGCCATCCCTATTCACAGTCGAGTGACCGTGAACTGCTGAACGCCAGCGAAGTGTGCAAAACCCTTCTGGAGTTGCAAGAGCTATTAAAGAAAAACAAATTGTTCATAAATAAGCAAAATTGATGGAAGAAGAAGACACTTGACATGACTTGATCCATCCGCCGGCCCAGCCGCCCAGGTAACATCGCGAGCAACAAACGATCATTACATTACAAACTCCGCTGACAACTTCCTTCCGCATCCACGTGTACGCAGCTCGCTGGACATGCTTACGTTTACGGGTCGGGCATATATGAAATAAAACGTCACTCCGGAGGACCGGCTGTGGAAAGACGAAAGGCCGGTGCCGGTGATTGGGCGTCGACGTCAAATCCACGGCGCCCTGACCAACTCGGACACTATTCCCTCTAATCGCGCGTACCTTTGACCTCTATTCCATTCCCTCCATTTGAATATTCATTCGTCTTAATCCCTGTTCCCGTCCTTCACGTTTGCGACCAAACGCCAAAAAAATAAAAAAGGTTCAAATTTCTTCTATATAATTCCGCCTTTCCCCGGCCCGACGGAAGTCCGCGCTTTCTCTCGCTTCCTTTCCCACCCCGCCGGCGGTGATGAAGACTCGAAGCAGCAACAATAGCAGCGGTAGCACCAAAATATCTGCAAAATGGATTCCGCTGATTTGTGCTTTCTGCTTTGCACTTGGACTTGTCTTCTCTAACAGGTTTTTTGTTTTCCCCCCTTTTACTTCATCTGGCCTGGATCCACCATTTGTTGATGTTCTTTTCGCCCCCCTCTTCTTTTTCAGGATATGGGTTCCGTACGAATCCAATGGTCAGCAGCTCATATCCCAGCGCCGACGTGAACAAGAAGAATTTCAGGCGGTATCTGAAGATTCCACAGCTGCTAAGAAGGTTGGTCTTGCTTTCTGATTCCCTTTCCGTTCTTTGCCTTCGTGATCACCTATCGGTTACTTTATCTCGGTTGCACTAAGAAAAGCCTCCCTTCACAGGGAAAAGATGTGATGGATGAAGTTCTTAAGACCCACGACGCCATTCAGTGAGTTTGGAAACATATATGCTCTATGCTTTCAATTTGTTAGACCGCAGGCTGTAATATTATCTCTCTCTGTCTGTCTGTCTGTCTATCTGTGCCCCCAATCTGATTCTTAAATATCAAATTCAGATCTCTAGACAAGTCGATTGCAATGCTTCAGATGCAATTGGCAGCTTCTCGGAGTTCTCATGAGATGACGAGCTTAGGTGCCTCTGGTGCAGCTACCTCTGTGACTGGCTTGTCACATGAAGGTGCGCCTCGGCCTAAGGTTTTCATGGTTATTGGGATTAACACCGCTTTTAGCAGCAGGAAGAGGCGTGATTCAGTTAGAGAGACATGGATGCCACAGGGTTTGTATCCTCTCCTTCGGTTCTTTCTTGTTTAGGGGTTTAAAGGTTGTGCTGATTCTACTTTATGGTAACCTCTAGTGGCTTTGGTGTTTCGTTTTAGGAGACAAACTCGTCCAACTGGAGAGGGAGAAAGGGATTGTTATCCGTTTCATGATTGGTCATAGGTAAATTAAATCTCCAGCACTTAATTGACGCAGTAGCTATACTAAGTTGGATAAATCTTCTGTGGTCGGATGCATGGGAAGAATTATCAACTTTAATTGTGTTTTCATTTTTAGATCAAACCCTGGATGCTTTGAAGCTAGCTTAAGAGCAAACATTGTTTCTGTTTTCGTGTTAATTTATGGACTTGGCCCACATTTTGGTTGCAGTGCAACATCCAATAGCATTCTTGATCGTGCCATTGATTCTGAAGATGCTCAGCATCAAGACTTCCTAAGGCTGGTAAGGAGGACATATGGTTCTGCTATATTTTACTGACAAAACTGGGAAGTACAGTGCAACATGGTCACAATTTTTATCATCTCGTAGGAACATGTTGAAGGGTACCATGAACTTTCTGCAAAAACAAAGATTTTCTTTTCCACTGCAGTAGCGAAGTGGGATGCTGAGTTCTATGTGAAGGTCGATGATGATGTTCATGTCAATTTGGGTATGCAGTTTTTTGTTTGGTCATTCTCTCATACACTTATCTTGTCGACTACTGCTGTAAACAGACGATTTGACCTTTATATCTCAAAGTTTAACTTCTGTTTCCACATTAGGTACACTAGCTGCTACCCTTGCCCGTCACCGCTCAAAGCCTAGGGTGTATATTGGATGCATGAAATCAGGGCCTGTTCTTTCGCAGAAGTAATCCTTTCCCTCTCTCAGTGTAGTGATGGTAGCTGTTTGGTGCTACGCGACCACCTTCATAGACCTTGAGTCTAATTCAGTTTCTTTGTTCAGGAGTGTCAAGTATCACGAGCCGGAATATTGGAAATTCGGGGAAGGAGGGAACAAATATTTTCGACATGCAACAGGACAAATATATGCTATTTCGAAAGATATTGCTACATACATCTCTATCAACCAGTAAGAATGTGTTTATCTTCATGTGTTTGTCCATAACAGGCTTTGTCAGCATATAATTCTTCATCGCTCACATTTACTTCCATTTGTTGAAGATTATATCTTATCAGTTTGTCAAAAGTAACCAGAAAGCTTCGTCCTTAAAAAGAAAAAAGTGGCCAGAAGGTCAGTAAAAGATTGATTCTCGTCGAATTACGGCTTTAACAAATTAGTTTTATTTTTGTCTCACTTAACAGATCAATAAATTGAAAAACACAGGTTCAAGAGATAGGTCAGGACAAACAAAGCAAAAACATGAGATGTCTGACAGAGTAGTATATGATTGTGACTGAATCTGGGACAAGAGTGTAGCGAAACAAATTTGAAGCTTCGAATGGGACCATTATATCCCAGTGCCACTGTGATTGTACAAATTGTGCATAGTTATATGTCAGCTAAAAGTCCTATCTTCTGTTGATTGATCACTACAGGCCATTACTTCACAAATATGCCAATGAAGATGTATCTCTGGGTTCTTGGTTGATTGGTCTTGAGGTTGAGCACATTGATGACAGGAATATGTGTTGTGGGACTCCACCAGGTAATCAAAAAACTTCTTGTAGCTTCAACATGAGATACTCTCTTAATTTCTCATGGTGGTAAGCTCCCTTAGAAACAAGAATCGTTTGGTTGGAACTGAAGATCAAGATTTGCATGTTGAGAAAGTGTTGAAGTTTGGAGACACAATAATACATTTTTAATGTAGTTGTCTAGCTGCATCTCTGAAACAAAAAATTTCGTTGGTAGGATTGTGGGTGGTCTAACAGGCATGTGTAAATTTGGGGATTGCAGATTGTGAGTGGAAAGCACAGGCTGGAAATGTATGCGTTGCATCCTTTGACTGGAGCTGCAGTGGGATCTGCAAATCAGTGGAGAAGATAAAATTTGTCCATGAAAGGTGTGGGGAAGGGGAAGGAGCTGTGTGGAGTGCACTTTTCTGAATATATTAAGTATGTTGGGGTGGTTTATTAGGGAATCCATCACTGCTGAAAGTCATCCATCCACTTAAGGCGTTCTGGGGGCAATGAAGCAGTTGAGAAGGGATGAAAGCTGCAATGTGATTCCTGAAGATAGAATGCACTGGCTAACAAACCCCGTCTCAGAAGCATTGACTATTTGAAGAGGGTAAAGGGTAGAGCTTGTACAGATTATGTTGATGCAAATTTGGTCCTTCTAGTCCATAGAACGTTGTTGCTCACAATGTTACCCCTTTAGGAGGCAGCGCAGCAGGGCTTGGCAATGGGATACTAGCTAAACTCTTGCCTTGACAGAACTTGGTTAGATACTATTGATTATACATACATTTGGCATACGTGTCCAAAACTTTGGAAAGCAAGTACTTTTGTATCAGCGATTCATGATAAGTTCAGTTAGGCAAATGAAAAAGAAACGACGTTGAGGATAATCACCTTTATGAGGTTGCACTGTTGGAGTTTCACGCAACTGATCTCACTTTCGTCATACTTAGCCTTGCTCATTTTCCGGTTTAGGGAGCATATTATCTTGCATTCTTCACTGATACAAGTCTACTGCTGTTTGACATTTGGATACTACATAGTCCTTGGTTTATTCATCAACACGTTTCGACCCAAAACACAAAATAAAATTGTTTCGAGAGAGAGAGTGTGTGATAGATTGGAGGTTTGGATGACCATTGAAGCTTGAATATCACCCCTAGCCATAAAGATATAATATTTTGGACATTTTATCGTAATCTCTATCTTCTCTATGAGTTAGCATGCAGTCTTCACTTAGGTTGATGAACCATAATTCTAGATTTCGGATTGGTTAGGAGATAGTAGAGCAGGGCTCGAGAATGGGATACTAGCAAAACTCTTGCCTTGACATAACTTGGTTAGATACTATTGATTATACATACATTTGACATACATGTCCAAAAGGAAAGCATGTACTTTTGTATCAGCGATTCATGATAAGTTCAGTTAGGCGAATGAAAAAGAAACGGCGTTGAGGATAATCACCGTTATGAGGTTGCACTATTGGAGTTTCACGCAACTGATCTCAACTTCATTGTACTTAGCCTTGCTCATTTTCCGCTTTAGGGAGCATATTATCTTGCATTCTTCACTGGTACAAGTCTACTGGTGTTTGACATTTGGATACTACAGAGTCCTTGATTTCTTCATCAACACGTTTCGACCCAAAACACCAAAGAATTGGTTTAGAGAGAGAGAGAGAGAGAGAGTGATAGATTGGAGGTTTGGATCACCATTGAAGCTTGAATATCACCCCTAGCCATGAAGATTTAATATTTTGGACATTTTATCGTAATCTCTATCTTCTCTATGAGTTAGCATGCACTCTTCACTTAGGATGATGAACCCTAATTCTAGATTTTGGATTGGTTGTTGATACTAGTGACAATCCTATGATTGTGATTCTTTATTACCTATTGATTTGAGTATTTATCATGCAATTGTGGGGCCTTGATCTCATTCCTCAATTTGAGGCTTTTGAGTTAGGAGGGAGAATATCTCCCTAGGTTGAATAGAGCACTACCAAAACATTATTGTGAGTCTATGAATGAGTGTGATCGGGTACGTGATGTTGAATTCGGTTTTGCCAAATCATGAGAGTTGGTTGTGAACACCTCAATTGTGTAGGCTGGTTGTATGGTAAGCCTCTCCATGTAGTGCAATTGAGAAGGTTGGATAGCTCGAATAGGGAGTCCAATCTAGATTCTAATTCTATGCGGTAGAAGCATCAAGTCAATCAATCTAGAGAAGTAATCAACATCGACCAAATGAAGGATTTAAGAAGATTCATGCCTAAGTGAGCTCCCACCTTGTAATTAGTTAGAGTAGCTTAGTTAGGTTAGTTTCTTAATCACTATTCTTGTTTGGCTAGATAACGAACCGAAGTTGAAGTAACGGTACATCTAGAGACCGGGTTCGATGATTTTATTACTTTACATCTCTTATACTACATCCGATCGTTGGTTATACTTGGCCTTCAATTGGGAGTGTAGTTAGAGTTGAGTCAAGTATTTGGCACCGCTGAAGGGGAGTTCTAAGTTATCGAGAAAAGGCTTTTTTTGTTACTTTAGCTATTTTTACTTTATTTTCCACATTTAGTTTTGTACATATTGTATTGTGTTTTGTTGTCCCACTCTTCACTCAGAAGGGTGGTTTGTGTTTGTTTGATCTTCTTTTTAGTGTTTTTGTGCTATATCTATTGAATCATGGATCCTTATGACTTCACCAACATGTGGACGTATACACCAACACCCGAGTGTGGTTACCCCGAGACTACATGGAGCAATCAAGACGGTGAAAGCCAAGGATTACGGGTTCTATGACCAATCTTCCTTCCATGAAGAACAACCATACCATGGCGATATCAAGAAGCTTTCTCATACCAAGAAGATTTCCTTCCACGACCAGAGCCTAACGTCTTTCCTTGTTTGTTTAGGGTTAATTAACATATATAAGAGTTTATTTAAAGGGCTTGAAAGCCTCGTGTAAAGGGCAGAGAAGATTGAATGAAGTTGTGACTTCGTCACCAAGTTCTTGTGTGTTGGTTGAGTTCCAGCAACAAGTTTGCTTTGTATCAATTGAAAACCACATCTATCGTGGCCGAGCTTCACCCAAACCAATCGAGCCTTCTTCCACGTAAAAGATTGCACCTTTGGTCCATTTTCTTTTGTTTTAAGTTGTTCGAATTCAAACTTCATTGAGGGAGAATTGAGTTGCGCGCTTTGATCTCAAACAAGTACAACTGTGCTCGTATCAAGTGGCATCATCGCCTGGTTCTACACAGAGGACAGAATGAAGGGCGGCATTGCAGCAACGACGCTGTGGACGAGGTCGAAGGGGTCTGTCTCAAACGACCCTACTCTTTGACAAAAAAAAACAGAGGGAAGCGTCGAGAGTGACAACAAATCCCGAAACCAAAATTCATCCATGGCAGCCCGACAGTTTAATATGAATGAGTTCCTGGACCAGATTGATGCTAGGTTCCAGGCGCAATTAGGCCAATTTTGGTGTGAAATCGATCAGCGATTTGATGCAACCGCGCCACCAGCAAACAGAGTCGGAGGAGAAGCTCATAGTGACGTCAATCAAGCTGGCGATCAGGGTTTATTAGACAGAATTGAAGATATGGAGAGGCGGCTTGTCGTTGCAGAACCCCAACACGACCGACCTCATCGAGATCGGCATGATAACCGGGAAGCAGAGCCGTCGGCGATTCCACCAGGGATCAAATTGGTTGTTCCAACGTTTCAGGGTACGATGAATGTTGCTACGTACCTTGATTGGGAACGAAAAATCCTACTCTTCTTCCAGTGTGGCAAATTCAGCGAACAACAAAAACTGGCCATGATCACCTATGAATTTTCAGACTATGCGGCTCAATGGTGGGAGCAACTTCAAATTCGTCGACGACAAAACCTTCAGGCACCGGTAGCGATATGGGATGAGCTGCGAGGCTTGATGATGGAGCGATTTGTTCCGGGTTATTACCTACGCGAGATCCATGACTCATTACAGGGCGTCAAGGATCAAGGAGCGTCGAAGAGTATTTTCGAGAATTCAAATTACTCTTGCTTCGTGCAGACGCTCGTGAGGACAGGGAAGCTACGATCTCGCGCTTTAGACATGGCTTAAACCGACAAATTTGCCACGAAATTGAACTCAGGTCCTTCGTTGAGTTGGAAGAGGAAGTACACCTGTCTATCAAAATTGAAAAGAAGCAGAAACTTTTTGCGGGAACAAGATTTTCAAAATCAGGAGCAGAGACGTCAGCTGAGGTGATTAAGCCAGACATTGCCAAGCCTGCTCCGAGGAATTCAACACCACGCGAACGAATTGGACCCTCCAGTGGGTCGATTCAATGTTTTAAGTACCACGGTCGTGGCCACAAAAGCGATTCAATGTCCTAATCTTAAAACGTTGGTCTTGCGAGATGGTGAGTATGTCTCCGATGATAAACCAAGAGGTCTAGTCGTGACTAACGACTCTACAGAAGAATAATTTGATGAGAGATGGAAGCTGAGTTGGGAGCCTTTCTTTCTGGGATGAATTTACGAGCTTTGACGGCGGAGGGCGAGACCAGCAATGACCAACGAACTAGCCTGTTTCACACACGATGTCTCGTCAACGACAAATGCTTGTCCATGGTTGTCGATGGGGGCAGTTGCACAAACGTAATCAGCCTCGACGCCGTCAAGAAACTGGGTCTTGAGACAATTAAGCATCCGAACCGTACAGCCTGCACTAGTTGAAAGATTATGGTGCTCTCAAGGTCACTAAACGAGCCCGAGTTTCATTTGAAATTGGTGGCTACAAGGATGAGCTCTTGTTCGATGTTGTGCCGATGCAAGCAGCACATCTTTTGCTTGGCAAGCCATGGCATTATGACCGAGCAGTCACGCACGACGGCGGAACAAATTGCTATCGGTTCAAGCACAATGGGAAGTGGATTATGCTCAAGTCGTTGTCGTCGTTGGAAGTTCGGTCCGATCAGCAACAAATGACCTCAATGCGAGCTCGAGAGGGTGAAGAATCTGGGGGTACACGACAGAGGAAGGGCTTAGTGCGAAGGGGGTTCATGTTAACTGCCTTGAGGAGGCCTATACCTTCTCGACCGAGCACGGCCAAACTGCTCTGTCTTCCGTCTCCGAGGCGGCAGGGGAAGAGAGAGAACGAATTGGGTGGAGCAATGAGGAATGAATCGAATCAATCAGCTCACGTAAACATGATTGCCTCCACCCCAGGAACGTGTAAAACCAATCAGAACGAGACTAGGAGCCTTGAAATGAAAACGCCATATTTGGCAATTTGGGTTCAAAATGAGCAGAGCTTCGGCCAAAAGAAGCCCGAATCGGTTGTGGAGATTGGTGATAATTCAGCGCAATTAGCCGCTTGGGGTCAACTCCTGGAGTCCCAAGGATGGTGTCGAAGCAAAGAAATCAGCTTGACCATGACTGAATTGGTTTTCCCCAATTTAGAATTGAAGTCGCCGAATTCTGGGTTCGCCTCGCCGGATTCTAGAGAATTTGAATTTTGCGACGGCGGGAAAAATGCAACAGCAAGCACGCAAAGATCAAGAGATTTTGGTGCTGAGAATGGGTATAGGAGGATCCTGGGAGCCTGGCGAACACGACTTCGCATCCCCAAAACGCTCCTGCCTCGCCTTCTATGCCACCTCATTTTGATGGTTTCGATTCAAGCTTTGCCTCCGATCCTCCATATTGTTTCAATTTCTTAAAGTAATTAGGGATTTCATTTACGATTTAGTGTTTTGTTGATGGGCGGTGATTTGGGTAATTAGATTTGGGTTTACTGGAAATTAGAGAATTAGAGATTGGGGCTCACCCATTAGAGACTATGGTATAGTGCATTGTCCAAACCTCATTAGTTTATGGTCTAAATACCAAAACTCGATAGGAGTACCATAAGGTGGCATATGCTAGGTTAAACCATGTACAACTTATGAAGTTGAAATTCTTTTGTCAAGCAAAGATAAGATGGTAATGAATACTATTTTTCAAGTGATGATGAAATTACAACGTTGTTTGATATTATTGTTGATCATGATTAAAACATGGATTAAATGTTGCCCCCTTTATATGAGACGAAACACGGATAATAGATAACAATAATAAATAAATATGAAAAGTATGAATTCGATACCATTGCAAAAAATGACAGATAATAGAATGAAAAGTACAAACAAATGAAACTCGATGCCCGTCGAGCGGACACAAAACTAGTTTGCTTATATGTGTAATAAATTTGGAAATTTTTTCACTTATATGGGCAAAATTTTGGAAATCTTTTCATAAGTTCAGTATTTAGGATAACATCTTTTGAAAAAAAATATTTTAGGGAAAACCTAACGGGTGGGTCAGCTAGTTTTTCAATATGGCTATCGTTTTTCTGATGATATGGTTGAACTTGGGGGAGAGACAGGAAAGTATCATCACAGGAGGCACATAACATAACTTTGGGGCAAGATAGGGTGAATAGGTTATCCCCCCTTCTTACCTAAATCTAGAATTTTGAATTTGAGTGGCCGAGAAAATTTAGATTTAAAATGTGGAATTTAATGGCTTTCTAATTTTCATAATTTTTTGGATCGCCTCTTAATTTCTTCGTTCTAATTTAGATTTCAAAATAAAGGACTATAAAGTACCACTGCGTACCACCCTGGTATAGGGGTGGTAACTAGTGGTACACAATGTTGAATGTGGTAAATGATAGTTCGTATACTCATACTATCATGTACTTCAACAGCCAATGATACGCCTCTTTTGTCTCCTCCTTCATGAGAGCACAACGTATGTTGAAATACTTCCCAACGGGAGTAGCACCTAAGGCCAAGCCTTCAACATCTGGATGGAAATTCGATGGGCAAAAAAAAGATGGGTAAGCACGTCATTATCGTCCTTCACAACCTCTATATGATAATTCTCGCGTTCAGCTGCTTGCAACGCATACGGCACTGCATTCATCTCGTCTTTCCTAGACTTGGACTCGAGGTTATACATTTGCCTTTTGGTGTGATGCCCTTTGTCACCCTTCTGCATGTTTATTGTCTGCTTCTATTGCGACGGAGGTACCCCAGCATCTCTCATCTGCTTCAGAGATTCTTTATCTTCCTGACTAAATTTCTTCATTTTACTGTGGCCCTCCGGATAAAGCATATTCTCATGATTGTGATACCCTCGCCTCAAACCGATTTCTTGCTCCCTCACTTCTTGTATCACCCAGAATGAAGGTCCATTAAGAGCATCTAGGTCAACCAGTAGTTCTTTGATTTTAAACTTAAACATGCAATTAGACCCTTTTGAACTTGTATTGCCACGACTCTCCATGGAAGGATCCGGCTTGTATGACTTCCTCTCCCAACTGCATCTGTCGCAATACATATAACACATACCCAATACTCTTTTGGTGCGCAACTCACGTGGCTTAGGGGTGGGCATTCGGAAATTATGAATACTGGGTTCCCGAATTCTCCCAAACCTCAAACCGAATTCGAACCGAATTATAATTCGGTTCGGTCGGTTTAAACCGAACTATAATTCAGTTCAGTTCGGTTTTTCACAAAAAACCGAATTTGTGAAGCTACTTGTATTTTCTCACTTTTAAATTATTTTTCACCGCTAATATAAACAATAAATATCAATTATATGCATCATCAATGATAAAACCAAACTTTTCAACACATAAGTCATAAAACATTTCAAATATTTAAGTCTAAAAACAACTACAAACATAAAAATCCACCATTTGGAGCTTGCGATTATAGTATTTCGGTTTTTCGGTCGGAAATTCGAAAATTCGGTTCGGTTGAAAGAACTCTGATTTCCGAACTATCCATATTTTCCTTCCGAATTCCGAACCGAATAGCATTAATTCGGTTTTGGTTCGGTTTAATTCGGTTTCGGTTCGGGTTTACCGAACCGTTTGCCCACCCCTAACGTGGCTTCATCGATCCCTTAATTAGAAAGACACCAAGAGACATCGCGATGTTTTTGGTCACTGTTACAGCATCTTCGAAATTGTCATATTGGACGCCATTGAGAAAATTGTCTGTGTAATCACCATTTAGTTCACCATTGTAAGTCATTTCCACCTGCAATTATGATTTTACAACTCGTTAGAAAGACACAAATTATATGATTCTCCAAAATTAAACTAAACGCAATAATTAACTCTACAAAATAACGATAATTTGACGATAAGAAATTTAATTAAATATAAATTATTAAACCAAATTAGCTCTACGAATTAAATCTAAACACAATAAATTAATTAGCTTTACCACAAAATACAATCACTTAATTAAACTAATTGTGCTTCAATTGACTCTACAAAATTAAACTAAATGCAATAATTTAATTAACTCTACAAAATAACGATAATTTGACGATAAGAAAATTAATTAAATATAAATTATCAAACCAAATTAGCTCTACGAATTAAATCTAAACACAATAATCTAATTAGCGCTACAACAAAACACAACCGCTTAATTCAAACTACATATGAAATTAACTGTGTAAAATAAAAATAAAACGATAAATTAAATCTAAATTATTAGCTCTAGAATTAATAATAACATAATATATATCAAAATACTAAAAAAATATAAAAAAACCGTCGGCGTTGGTCGCCGTCTGCTCGCAGGGATCGGACGCAGTCCGCTCGTCGGTGTCGGACGCCGTCCGCTAGTCGGGGTTGGACGCCGTCCGCTAGTCGGGGTCGGGCGGGGTCTGCCTGAGCCTGTCTGACGGGGTCCGCCTTCGACGGTCGGACGGGGCAAAATACAGGAGGTTTACCTCATTCGCTGGTCCGACGATGTGGTACGGCTGCCGTCTGGTGGCCGGCGACTTATGCTGACGGTGGTCCGGTGGCCGGTGACTTAGGCTGCCGTCCGATGGCCGTGACTCCAGCTATGGTGATTGTGGGTTGGTGGTCAGGTGGTGGCAGGGGCGGAGCTATGTTGTTCTTCGGGGTGGCCCCGGCCCCCCCGAGAATTTTGAAATCACGTGTTAAGTTCGATAGGAATTTGAAAATTTACGTATACACCTAATAATATAAGTAAATTTGTGTGCAAAATTGTGACATCAATGTTTGGGTGGCTCAGCGGAAGGATTCACGCCTGTTACATTCAGTGGCCGGGTTCGAGCCCAGTGCACCTCCCTTTTTTACATTTTAGAACATGGAAGTTTAATGTACAGTAGTTTAATTTGACCAAAGAGCAATTTAATAAGTTAATAATTATCATATATAGGTCAATTTTAATTTCTTTAAAATTAAAATATAGTTTAATTAATTTCTTCAACTTTTAAATTTATATTCTTAATGATTCTCTTGGTTAGATGATTGATTATGTTACTTTTTATTTGACAAAGAGCAATCTTATAATTTTTATAGTATGTTTTATAAGTATTTTACTTTTAATAATTTGTTAAACATAGAATTTAGAAAATTTGTTTTAAATTCTAATTTGAGTGAATTTTTAATATAAAATAAAGTCTTATATTATTATTATTATACTATTAATTAATAATAATATTATTATTTTCTTAATAATTTTCTTATCATTTGTTTACTTTCGACGATAATGTACTAGCTAACTCCGGCCCCCCCGATCGCCCAATCCTGGCTCCGCCCCTGGGTGGTGGTGTGGGTAGTTTAAAAAACCAAACCAAAGAATAGAATATAAAGAAATTTTGAAGGCCAAAAAGCATTTTTAGTTTAGTTTACGGGCGGCAAATAGTAATAACACGGGTGACAAATAACACGCCTCTTAAGCAAATTAGCTTCTGCTTTCTCGACATTTATTTGGTTAAGAGATAATATAAATTTTGTTTACGGTTAAATATGTCAATTTAATAGGGTTTAGGGCGATAAAATTTAAATTCTACGACGAAGAATAGCAATTCAGAATAGCAATAGCATAAAGCTTGTACTAACAAGAAAATGTTATCTCAATCTGATACAGAAACTATACTCGCCACATGAGACAAATAGCAGGGACACCCCCCGAACGGTAGTTAACCTTTCTCGCAGGTTCTTATCGACCTTGTGTGAAGAAGTTTGTTAAGAACTTCAAAATCATCCCCAGAAAGTGATTTCTCAATGAGCTGTCACCGAGATTTTCGCCAATTTCTACTCCTGAGCTGCTCTTTCCTCTGGGCTCTCATGCTTGTGTCCCTAATTTTTTCTCGCCGTTGGATCAATTTCCACTTCCAGACGCTTTGATTCTGCTATCAAGCTATCATTTTGTTTCCCGTGCTCATTACTCTGTTCTACAACTGTTTCAGCCTCTTGAAAATACTTCATGGGTTCCACATCGTTCTGCACACTTCCTTGATCACCGGAGATGGAAAGAAGAGATGCACCACCACCTCCACCACCACTACCCAGACCTTTACAAACACAAACATACTTGAAAACCAGCTGTTTGTAGGAGTTCAACAACTCTTCCACGTCATTGATTGTTAGATCACCAACATGGGAATACAAGTAAGGGTACTCTCGAAAAACGTGATTTGCCATGTCCTCCTTCAAAATGAGAGTGGCTCCTCTGTTATGTATATCCAACATTGACGAAACCTTATCTAATGATGATACCACATCTTTTGAACTTTCTGCATCCATAGTTCTAGACCTCGTCTCTGCAGTTCTGGGTCGGACTGAAGAGTTCCTCTCCTTTAAAAACAGATGCCTGGATTCAGGTTTGACAATATTACCTGCACCTTGTGCGACAACCTCTTCAGCTGAAGGACCTGTTGAGACCAGTGCTCGAGCCAGTTCCATATTCTTTTCATACTCGGCTTCTTCCATTGAGATAGATTTTGGGGTAATGTTAGAGATGAAAGACTCTGCAGACAGCATATTTGTGAAAAAATATGCTGCTTCCCCCACCAACCGGGATTGACGCCGATACCGCTGTATGTACAACAAATTTGAGTGCAGCTGTGGAGGATTTGCCTGCGCATATAGGAAAACAAGACCTTACAAGTATACTGAGTTGAGGTGCTAAAGAGAAGAAGCAGAGCCATACAAAGCTGGAACACTACCCAGAACAGCATAGTTTCATGCATTACTCTTCAGGCAAAATTACAACTCTCACAGAAACCTTTCTAAAGGCAATAGCAACAAATTAGGCATTCTGGCCAGGCCAAGACGCTTTTCGGTAGGTTCGAGGTCTTGGAGATCTAGAATCGGTAGTCACTTAGCCTGATTCCTAAAAATAGAAAATGTTGAGATATGTGCATAACACCTACAGTAGACTGCATTACACGTTTCCAGGTCAAATGAAAACGAAGAATCTGACTTTTTTTGTTTTGTTTGAGTGACGAAGAATCTTACTGAAAAAGGTCAAAGTTGAACACATATTATGATTCACGTGCTTAAACTAATTCCCAGAATATTATAAGAAGACTGTCTTAAGTAACAAGAAACTCCAGGTTAATGCTAATCTAAAACTATTCAGGATGTTTTAACATCTTATTATTATGCAGCCGCATTAATGTTTGCACAAAGTGCACCGACAAGCACCGGTCTATAATATGCCATGAATTGTCAGGTCATCATGCAGGACAAGATGTTGTTGCAAAGTAAATTTCAAGTAGTAGAACATAAACGAGCTTAGCAATTCCCACATTTACCAGTGGAATCTTGCATATTTGGTCATAATCTTACCCTCATTGTAACATAAATAAGAACCGGAAGGAATTCATCAGCTCCAGGGGGATTCTCATTCGAAGCAATAGAAGCATTAAGCAATGAATGGTTTATGACCTTGCAGCAGTTGAGGATGCACACAAGCTTATCTCTTGGTGCCTTGCACATATTGATCTTCTGTAGCTCTTTCTGCGCAAGCTGCCATATCACCAGAAAAATTAAGGTGAGAACAAGGCAAGATAGATAGAATTTTGAAGTATAATACAAGGATATTTGACAGTAGTTGGCATCACAGACCAAAATTCAGCAACGTCATATCATATCCTTAGCGAGGAAAAGGAATTATATACGCGGTCTATAAAGCTTGGCTAGAATGTGATTAACACTAACCTCTTTGGAAGCATAATTAGAAACAGAAAATAGTCTACTCAGTTGGCAAATAACAGTGGCAGTGAACAAATGATAATAATTAATAAATAATGCCTTTTGACAGGACAAAGGAGGCAGAATATTTGATCGTATAGGTTAATGAGTAAAAACTATTTTTAGTTCTCTTTGTGGGTGCGCTATGTGTGTGTCGGTGTAATTGTATTTGAATTACAAATGCTTATATCTCAACCCCACACGCACACTGGTAATCATTCTGCCAACTAAAACCAGGCCAAAAGATTCATGAACCCCAAGTCCATTCTGAAGAACGTATATATAGAACAAATGAGATTGTCGTCCAGCTTGATTTCATTCTTAAGCTGCATGGCCGTAGTATGAAGAAGGCCAACTGTTTGCTAACACCATCAAACATTTTGAAACAGAAGTTATGAATGACCAAATCCAGCAAATAAAAGAAGAGCACATCCTTCTTATACCAGAGCTTCATAGCCCGTGGATGAAGAAGCTTGTTAAATGGTGAATTTAATTTAAGTGCTCTCCTAGTTCATTGATGACAGGACAATGTAAAGTAGTACTATACATACAACTATGAGTAAACCAACCAGCATACCAGCCAAGATGTCAGGTCAATGTAAAGTAGTACTATACATACAACTATGAGTACCAACCAGCATACCAGCCAAGATGTTTCATTCTCGAACGAGGGCTTAATATCCAAATTTTCAGGACGAACAAAGTGTTGAATCAAAGACATCTTCTCAGAGAGTTGCTCATCAGCTTTTACATCATCTGGAAGTGAAGCAAATACACGGGTAAATAACTTTGTCATTACGTACTTCTCGAGGCCCTGTATACGAAAGAAACATCAGATGTAACAGACCTTCATGAATTAAGAATTGTCAGCCATTAAAAATAAAGGCAAATATATGACGTGATTTAAGTATAGATCCTAAGTTCATTTAAGAATAGGTCCACCGCAGGTTTCAAACACAGGATCTGTTACTGCAAATATTCAAGCTTATAAAGCGGGCATGTTCATTTGGTTTACATTAATTCTCCACAAGAGTTGCCTGCTTGCACAACATGCAGATTGTGAAATTTGGAAAATGGATGGAATGAAAAGGCTGAGAACCTGTCAGCCAACAGTATTCAATTTCAGTGCCCTAGTCCTGGGGTGATTATTTAAATTACTGACATGGCACATTGACTTCTCTTTTTTTTTTTTTTTTTTTTTGTGAAACATTCCCTCTTTTGATGCTCTTTATTCTAGGCCTTGAGAATCAACTCAAATAAACCAGCCAAAGAACTAGTAAAGCTCTCTGTTCTCTACTTCTAGAATTGGTTGTAGGAAATAAGAAAACCTAATAAGATTCCACCAGGTTCAGTGCAGATCCGAAGGGCTATGGAAGAGTCAAAATTTGTGTAACACAGCAACTCTTAACAAAGTACTGATGTGCTGCTATCCTAGCCCTTCACAGTTATACTAAAGGTAAAAAATCACAATACGTTAGACAAGAGCACCATCTAGTTAGAAAAGCATAACTTGGAAAGATAATAGGCAGAAACTCACTTCACCGGCACTCTCCAACTCCTCCTCCTTACAGCCTGCCCAAAGTGGATGAGCCCTGAAAGCAGTCTCCATTTGGCCAAAAAACCCTTGCACAAGAGCACTATCCCTTTCAGGATCTGGTGCATTGTTCGAAAATGAAACAATGAAGCTGAGATCATTAAGTAAAAAACGTTCAAAAATTATTATGTTGTCAGATAACAGTAATTTTATCAAATAAAATCAAATTCATGCACAGGGAACCAGTTGGCTTATTGATGTGAAACAAGCTAATAAGCAGGCTCCAGCATTTATAGATGACAGGGATATGTCATACAATATTCCTAGTCGACATTTCCTTGGTTAAACTCCTAACATGTTTTGGTATAATGTTTTATCTATGCACAATCACATTTCTTGTAACAACTAAATAATCACATATAGTAAACCAACCATTGGGCTCACCATTGATTTTAATAAAGGTAGGACCTAATCCAAGTCCTTGTTTTTCGGGTTTACAACAGCATCAGTGGTTGTATAAGCATTCCTGTTTTACTGCAATGCCATTTGGGTTCATTCATCAAGCATGCCTCTGGACGAATTCCTTTATTGTCCATCTAGCAACATAATTTTTGCTACTATGAGAATTGATAAACTAATATAAGTAATACTTTACGCTTACAGAACATTTTATGACCTAAACATATCGTAGGATTGACCTTTTTAACACCATGACTAGTTGATGCATAGGGAATATTACTTGATTGCCACTCACTTCACAGTTAACCCATCCGGGAACTGATGAAAGTAGCGTTCAGATGGGGAATATCTGCAATGAAAGAACATCTATCGAGCTGCAGAAACACTCTGATGATAACAATAACAAAGAAAAGCTAATCACTAACAAAAGAAATCCGAATAACCCTGATTAACTACTTAATAAGGGAACCAAGTAACTGGAAGCCTACGCCATATAGAGAACCTCCTCCTAGTATTCCGGTCGGGTTAAAACACTAAAAACCCAAAGATAAACCAAACATAAAATTCTCTTCTTATTGAATTCCATCGAACTTCAGCCCAAGATGCAAAGATCAACAGCATTTCCTTTTTCGCTGTGCATCTAGGGTCATGTGAATGGTTAAACACTTGACGTCTATACTCATCAGTGGCAAACCGAAGTAAACTAAGGAATTTGTGTCAACATCAGCTGGCATATTGGAAGGCACACAGAAAGGGGTGAAATGTGGTGGATTTTGGAAGACAGATTCAAAGAAAACTATCCATTACAAAGCTCAACCGCCGAACTAGCAAGTGAATTCAGAAGCTATAATGAAACCATCAAAGATAAATGTTGTAAATCAGCGACTACCAAGGCCGGAAGCGCGGGAAAGGTTCGCATTCCCCATGGTTGTAGACAAGGATTGTAGTGTGAGGTAAAGGGAGAGAGACCTTTTGATGGATTTAACGAAATCGGCGGCGGACGGCTGCTTCATCCGTTCAAGAAAGTCGTGCAAGCCCAAGAAGACGTCAGCGTTCTCCATTGAGGACTGCGATATGCTCGTTTTTCACTCGTCTATTCGAATTCTCTCGGTGGGAGTTTTAGTGGGAAAAGCGGAAACTATCTGTGTGTAATGCCCCGGTGGAGGAATGGATCTATTCCGGCAGTTGATGTTGAGGATTGCTTGAACTGAGAAGAGAATTGAAGGATTAAAAGAGAAGGGGAAGGATTAAGAAAGAATAGAGTAGGAGAAGAGAAGAACAAGAAGAAGCAGCCTAGCTATTTACTTATTCGGCTAACTAAAAAATTACTAACTAATGTATGAATTAATATCAAGTCTACTGAATATCTAGATAGCACAGACTAGTATTCAAAACATCACAAACTAGTATTCAAATAGCAGATACCAACTAATATCCACAAACAACCAACTAGTATTCAATATGGATACTCTTATATGTTATCTGGATACTCTTATGTGTTATCTGGATAATAATTATGTGCTATATGGATATTATAGCGTTTTGCCTAGATATTAGTATGTGAATTTGGGACAATAGTTGATTCATGGTGGATATCACTTAGCAAACTTTGAATACTACTATGTGCTCTCTAGATACTTTAGTACTTGGATACTAGTTCATGTATTTTGGATATCAGTTAGTATCTGCTAACGAATCTTCAAGTTAGCAGATTAACTTTTCCCCAGAAGCAGAAGGAAGAGGAAGAACAGAGCAGAGAGAAGAGAGTTCTGTAAATTGGTTATTCCTTATTCAATGCGAAAAAGTTAAACAACTAACTAACAAATGCAAATTCTCGTAGGATTAGGAAGAATAGTTTTGAAAAGTTATAAATTAAAGTTTTAATTAATTATTTACTATTTTTCATAAACGAAAATAATATGAATAATTAATAAAATAAATATTATGAAGATAATTGGGATTAATTATCTAAATATAATACATTTTAATTACGAGAGTAATTATCTTACAAATTAAAATGTGACTTATTCTCAAAGAAAGAGTGAATATTTTGGTTTTCTGCTCCTATTAATAGTACCTCGTAGACCTTCTAAACACACCTAAAAGGAGCAGAAACACGAGAGAGAGTGAGTTCATAGAGCTTCGGTCTTCGCACAAAATGGATGAGCAACAAATCAGAGTGACTGTTTTATCCTGAAGGCGACCGACTGATAGTTTGCTATGCACAGCTATTTCTAAAAAAGGGAACCGGTTCTAGAACGAAAAGAGATGACAAATTTGTCTAGCACAGTATGGTAAGAGAACTCCTAACTATAGGAGAAATGAAGGTGAATCATGTAGGATCCTAATTGATACTAGTTGATCCTTTGACGAAAGGATTACCTTGAGAGAAAAGTCCAAAATACCACGAAGAGTATGAGACTTACGCCTACCGAACCATAGATTACAAGTGATGGTAACCCGACCTGATAGACTGGAGATCCCAAGAAGCGGGTTCAATGGGTAATAACAAGTCATGAGTAATATTGAGAAAAATTCATGCATAGTGAAGCATGAATCCCGAAGCCTTGGAGATCGAGTTAAACTCTTAATGAGATCTATACTCCATGTGGAGTGAAGTACATTACCGTGGATACTTCTGATAGACTCACCTATGTGAATGTGGGAGTGAGGCCTCTTCCTATTAAACTTTAGAGGCACAAAGTTGCTAGATCGTTCACTAAACTAGATAACATGCAGGGCCATAATCACACGACCTATGAGAGAATACCACTCAATGAAAAGATCTGGTGTGCTACATTGTCTAAGATAGGGTTCAAGACTGCGAGTCACCCTTATGAAATCAGAAGTGTAACCACTACACTAAGGTTCAAATCTTCGCAATATTTTAGCTTATGTCCGATCTTATGGAACTGTTGATACTCAAAGATAGTTTCAAAACTATTCAAGTGGGGGGTTTGTTGGGATGAATAGCTTTGAAAAAATATAAATGAAATTCTTAATTAATTATCCAGTATTTTTTCATATACAAAAATAATATGGATAATTAATAAAAGGAATATTATAGTGATACTTAAGATTAATTATCTTAATATAATGTATTTTAATTATGGGAGTAATTATCTACCTAATTAAAATGTGATTTATTCCCAAAACGGTGGGAATAGTCTAGGTTCATCTGCTCCTATAAATAGCAGACCCCTAGCCCCTCTAAACACACCTCAAAGGAGCAGAAACACGAGAGAGATCGTGAGTTCATAGAGCTTCGGTTTTCGCACAAAATCGATGAGCAACAAATCAGAGTAGCTATTTTATCCTGGAGACGACTGACTGATTTTCTGTTGTGCACAATACGACGCAGTGTCGCGAACATATTAAAGAGAGCGACCTAGTCCGCGACTCAGCCAGATCGGTAACCCTAATTTTTCATGTTCGGTTTCTAACAGATACTAACACGATGCAGATGATGCTCACGTCGACCTAGATGCGACCCAAGGGAGGATGGTTGCAGGTTTGTGTGCCTCACTTAAGTGAGTTATTTTCAGGCTTTCTTCATGGAGCCGGCCTAGCCAACGAAGCTAAAGAGGAGGCTGAAGGTGGCTAATGGGTTCGCTTGTGTTTGGGCGGGATTTTGGAGAGAGTGGGAGAGGTCGAAACTGTATCCAAAAAGAAGAAGGGGAGGATAATTTTATGCCCAACCACTTCTTTCTCTCACATCCTCCTTCTCTATTTTTTCCTCTGGTTTCTCTCTTCTCTTGCGACGAAAAAGACGCCGACGACAAGCATCTCCCTCCTTCCTCTTCATCCGCTGTCGTGCAAAGATAAATCCTCAACAAACGAGCTCGTCTCATGAACAAGACGATTTTGTTGATGATATATTAGATGGTGTTGGCATGGCTGGATTCGATGGAGTTTTAGAATAAGAAGAAGGTAATGGTTGTGGATTTTATATATATCCGGGGTGCTGCATTCCTTGAGTATGAAAACGTTATCTAGACCTCGAATTATCCGAATTTTTGGGCCTGATACTATACTCCAATCGTAAATGAGTGAACTGTAGGTCCTAATTTTCTTAATCATAAACTATAAACCCTAAGATGGTGCATTCATTTTTTGCCTATATTTGGACGAGTCATAACTATCGATTATTTTTCTAATTAAATTGATCTTGGGTATGAGATTTAGAGAATTAAGATCCTATATTTTGAGCTTTAAGAGTTAGAGTATAGTATCATGTTCGAAAGATCAGTCAATTCAAGTTCTGGATAGCGTTTTCATACTCAAGATATGTGGTACCTGAGATTTCACACTAGGTATCATAGAACTTACTATATATATACATATATGTACCCTATCCTGCTGTACTCTTGGAGTATAGTATTGACTCGCTAAAACACAACACCTAACAATGGCCAAGTGTAACCAATGAAAGGGACTGCAGTATAGTGGCTCAAGTAATAAATATCGAATCCACGGGTCTCTAGAGTTACTATCTAGCAAACCAGATTAAGATGGAAGAACTAAAACTACACTAACAAACTACAGTTAAAGTTAATCTAATTACAGGTTGGGAACTCACTTAGATATGATTCCCCCTAGCCATTAGCCAGATTAATGATTGATGATCTCTAACCTGTTTCACTTTCATTCACAATGCGGAGAATCCTTGACTAGACCTTGAGTCTCGACTAAAGGAACAAGGCCCTCTTGAGTCAATTGCCTAGAGGGACGTATCCTTCTCTAGAACAATCGATCAAGGCATTCTGAACTAGACTCCCTTTATCAAAAGAGGTTCTCAATCGATACAAAGCAGTGAATTAACCCTCGACTAAAGCAATTGATCCAATACTATCAATCTATGGTGCTCTATTGACCTAATCAGGTATTCGCTCTCATAGGATCAAAGCAGAATCAATAATCTCGACTAAAACAGAATTGAATCATGAAAATGTGCATAGATTGAATATGAACTCAAAATTATAAAGAGTACTCATACAATCATCCAATCAAACAAACATAGCTAGGGTTCCTCAAAACCTAAGTGAAGGGAAGTTACTCCATAGAGAAGAGAGAGACTGCAGTAAGAATCTTCAGATGTTCAGTCTTCAAGTCCGGGCTTGTTCCTCGAGCTTCCAAGGCAAAGAAATCCTCCAATTCCACTCCAAGAATGCCCTCAAATCGCCCTCTCTCTCTCTCTCTTTGGTTCGTCCCTTGGGTGTTTGGGATCTAAAACCCAGCTCCCCCTCCTTTGGCCTCAATCTGCCTAAAAAACCCGATTCTGGGAAAAACACGGTCGAGGACACGGCCGTGTTTTACTTTTGCCTCCAGCAGCCCTCGTCGGCCAAAACACGGTCGTGTCTAAATATGGACACGGCCGTGTTTTTATTTAGGCCAGCCCGTGTTTTACTGCCGAACATGTTCCCCTATATTCAATGCTTCGTTTCTCCCTCGTCCGGACTCCGAATCAGTCGCCGTTTGATCCCATACGCTCGTAGTCTCGTCCTCTCTCTTTTCATGACAAGCTTGCATGATTCTTTGTCCATAAAGTGAGGTATAAATCCATTCTTATTCAGGTCATGCCCGAGTTTCTTCTCCCTAATCGCCAATTGATCTCTGATTTACTTGAAACTTGCGCCTATGCTTCACTTTATGTGCTAGGACCTGAAATGTGACAAAGGAACACAACCTAGCGTAAAATAGGCCAAAGACGCGATAATTAAAGCTCAAACTGTCAAGAAACAAAGGGGAAAACATGTGCAAATATCGAGTCATCAAGTATACTCCAAGTACTCCTAGTGAGATATCTATATCTAACTATGAATTAAATCGAGTTTGGCGTATGATAATATACTCTAAACTCTAATGGATAAACCCAAGCCCCAATTCTCTAAACTCAAACCCGAAGTTCAATTTAATAGAAAATACTAATTAACCATTGAGATTGGTTGGAGCTCTGAAAAGAAGATCTAACAGTCATGTTACATGGAGTATGGTATACTCCTGGAGTATACCAATTATTACCATATATATGGTGAAGTCTATTGTACACCAGACATAAATTGGAGCATGTCGTACACCAGCAATCTCCACCGTCCACGTCCATCTCAACGGCCAACATTAATGCATGTTCTTTTTTTGTGGGATTACAAAATAAATTACCTCGTTTATACTGGCCGTTGAGATGAATGCGGACGGTGGAGATTGTCTGGTGCACGACATACACCAGGTTTTGCCTAGTGTGCGATAGAACCAAACTGTGATATATGTGTTGTTGAGTTTTGGTTGGGAGCATTGAATGACATTTAATGATGTCATTGTGAGTTAAATATTTGTTGGGCGTCATGTGGTTCTGTTATGAGCGAATTGGATACGATTTACCTACTATTTGTTGGACATTCTGTGTATCCCTCTAACCTGTTTTCCCTTTGGTGTGTATATAGTGGGGATACTATTCTGAGGTTTTTTTTATATGATTACTAGTAGTGTGGATATTAGACCTTTGGATACGGATCCTAGTAGTGTTGATACTTTTTTTTTTGGAGAAAACGGATACTGATATTAGATTAATTGACATTAGTTAGCCTACTGTATGTTTGTTGTGGGGTTTGATTTAGACGTAAATTGGGTACTAGTCTTGGCAGTTTGGACACAGATTTTAATAGAAATGTATGTGTGTACCAACATGTCATCCAAATTTCTCACAGCTTACAATACTTAGATGCTAGAAGACGAGGAATCGAGGAAGGACATCTTTTATCGCACTAAGGAAGAGTGTTCGGCTTTCTATAAATGCTATGCACACAATAAAGGGTTTGGTGTTCGAGTAGATGGGGAACACCTAAGAAAAATGAAGAATTCTAAAGGAGTGGTGGAGAAAATTTTTTGTAATAAGGAAGACTGGACTTCCACTAGCAAAGTAAATGTGGACAAACAGAGACTAGTCGGAAGACAAGGTTGTGGAGAGAAGGCTCCCTAAAAGAAAGAGGCCTCGAGTTAGGGTTGATGCAGCGCCGTATTTTTTTCCGAAGGGATGCTACTAGGGAAGGATTTGCGGTGTATGAATTCGTAGGAGCCCACAGTCATGATTTGCACTCGACCGAGCATATGCACTTGCACAAGTCCAATAAGTGCACGAGTGGTGCTCAGAGAAAGATGGTCCAATCTAATCGTGATGTCGTGAAGAGTCCTAGTGCATCATATTAGCTAATGGCTGATTGTGCCGGTGGGTATCAAAATTTGACTTTTACCAAATCCGATCAGAAGAACCACTTGAACAGTAAACGACAACAGAAAATGGCTCATGGTGAAGCGACTTATCTGCTTGACTACTTTGAGGACCAAAAGTACAAGCATCCCGACTTCTTTTATGTTGTAGAGGTAGATTGCGAGGATAAAGTTGCTAATATTTTTTGGGCGGACACTAGTATGCGTGAAGATTATGCGCTTTTTGGAGACTCAGTCTCCTTTGATACGACCTTCCGAACCAATAAATACTTTCGTTCACTGGGTACGTGAATCACCTAATTCCCTAGAATTTTTTGGAAACTTGTTCGGTTATGCATTGTCAAACATGGTTGTCTTTTTCAAGGATGTTTGTAGGTTTCAATCACCACCGTCAAATTTGTGTGTTTGATGCTTGTTTGTTGTATGACTAGACTACTCCTTCTTTTGAGTGGTTGTTTGTTGCATTTAGTCAGTGCATGAAGAAGAAGCTCCCAGACACCATCTTTATCGATTAGGACGTCACCATGGCAGCTGCACTTAGAAAGGAGTGACCTACTGTGTTTCATACGCTCTGTACTTGGCACATTCTAATGAATGCCAAGAAGCATCTTCGTAAGGACAAGACATTTTGGAAGAAATTCCAAAATCATCTTTCTTTTATTTTCTACGACGTGGACAGTGAGTTAGAGTTCGACATGGCATGGAGAGTCATAGTTGCTGAATGTTTCCCTAATAGCGGCATTGCGGATGACCACCAGTGGTTAGGGGTGACAGTTCGGTTACTGGTTATTGGTTAACCGGCCGGTTAAACCGATAACTGGCCGGTTATCCACTAACCGGTAGCTGAAGTAACCGAACTTCAGTCGGTTATCGGAGGCTGGACACAATGGTTTTTGGTCTTGAAAGTGGTTTGGTTAACCGATAACCGAGATAACCAAGAAATCGAAGCCTATTTCGGGCGGTTTTCGGTAGAGGGAGTGGTTATTTCGGTTAACCGATAATCGGCCGATCAGTTACCTGTTATAACCAAAATAACCAAACTGCCACCCCTACGCGTGGTTGGAATATTTGAAGAAATTTCATCATCGATGGTGTTCCTTATGGTTAAGAGATCAATTCACAGTCGAGATGTTCTCTATGCAAGCAAGCGAGTCATGCAATGCACAAGTGCGACTTTTCTTGAAACCGAGGCATGATTTCGACTAGTTTTTCATTCACTTTAGCAAGTACATAATCATAATATTACTTTGCCCTTGGTTGATATTATTTCGCTAGGTTTGGATATTTTTATGTTTCACCTGGATATTCTAATGCGTTAGTCAAATATTACCTTATATTTGTCGGATATTAGTTTTGTTATGATTGATATTAGTCTGGGCACTAAACTCTTTTGTTTTGCTTCTTAATTGTAGTTTGTTGGCTGAAAAAATTGGTTCCATATATAATGTTGGAGCATAGCTCGATCCTCCAACGTGTGACAAAGATCTTTACTCCTAACATCTTCAACCGGATATAAGAGCAATATTTGTAAACTAAATCCTATCAAATGGAGTCGCACTCACATACTAGAGACGATGACATGATTGCCTACCTCACATATAAGATGGAGGATCGTAAGCGTAGTGATTAGCATGTCGTTCTCGTCAAAATTTCTACGAGGACACTGATATGTGAATGCAGGATGTTCATAACTTTCGAAGTGTTATGCCGCCACATGATGAAGGTTATGAAACTGTTTGGAAATTTTGGGAATGCTAGTATGAGAAGTATTGTAGAGCATTACATACTCACGCGATGGATGTTGGAGGCGAGAAAGAAAGAGGTTGTTGATGTGGATTTTTCAGTTGGTCCTTTAGCTGCCGCCACTGAGAATGATGCGGGAAAAGGTATAGCAATGAGGTACCGAGAAACCACTATAATGTTGAATCAACTAGCAATGAACCTGTCGATGGCTGGTGAGAAAGACTACAACAAGTGGATGGGAGCACTCAAGAAAGTGTGCAATGAGGCATACTAGGAATTGTCAAAGACTATAACTAGCAAGGACAGTAAGTGTATTCACTAATATCATTTGTACATTGTTAGAATTTAATATCATTGCATGTAGTAATAAATTCTCTAACATTGTAGGACAGTTTGTACCGATAAGTGGGGTGACTTTGAAGGAGAAGAGTAATACAAGGAGCCACGACAAGGAACGTTATCAGTCAATGAATGAAAAAGAATGGTGCGACAGAAACATGTCTATAGGAAGGGAATGAAATCAGACGAAGTGCTCACGCCGGACAACGTTACTGAACCGGATGACTATCTTAGTGATTTGGAAGATGATATTGCAGAAATGGTTCAGGGATAGACAGATATTAGTTTATGCAGTAAGATATTATTATGGTTGGTATGAATATTTGTTATTGAAGAACTGATATTATATACGATAGACGAATATTTTTTATGACCTTTCGGATATTACTATATTCTATCAATATATTCATCTACGATGTTCAGATATTAGTATGGGTTATAGGGATATGTCTTTTGGTTCCAACAGATATCTATTTATAAATGGTCTGATATTAGTCTGTTATATTTTATGTATGTTTGTTTGTGTGGATATTTATCTAATGCCCAACAGATATTTGTATAAGTTATCTTGATATTATTTTGTATCTTTCATGAAATGAACAAGTCATTCAGCGTTGTTATAAATAGTATCCCACTATAATTTACTTGATTTGGGCTCATTTGTACACCTTTTACCCTCGGTTTCCTTAGTCTTTTGAAGCATTATTACTCCGGGATGTTTGGTTTTACATCGGGTTTTGCCTCGTTTTGGTGTTTTTCAGACTATGGCAGGTGGAACCAACCCCAGAGTCGAAAGTTGGACGAAAGGGCGAAAAATCAAGTCAAAGGGTGGAAGCAGCAGCAAATCACAGTCACTAAAACCGTGAACTGGAGGCTATCCGCGAATCGCCAGGCATCCTGAGCATATTTCACTTTCACTGGACTCAAGTCAGTTCACGTTCGTAAGACCGTGAACTCAGGCCATTGCTCGTGAACTGGACTTAGTGATGTGGCGCGTTTTGACTTGAGATCACGGCCGTGAATTGGGGCTGTGATCTGAGCCCGATCTGGGTATAAAAGGAGGTTGAGCTAAAGGAGAAAAGGGGAGATACATAGTGTGAGAAACTTCTTCTTCTTCTTCTTATAATTTCTAGAGTGGGAAAGTGACAACCAAATAAGAGAAGAAGCTAGAGTTTCATCTTCAAGCAAGGATTTTGGAATCCCTCCCCCAAAGGAGGATCTCTTCAACACAAAGGAGCAAAGCTAGCATCTTCATGATGGTTTTCCTTCTTCTCTCTTGTGTTTTTCCTTCTCCTATCATGGAGTAGTCCCCTTCTTTCACTTGGGTGTTTGTAAACCCTATCTACAATTATGAGAATGTTTGTATGGATTGAATGATTAGTGTGTGGATGTGTTTTAATACGAATGTGGAGGTATTTTCACAAAAGATTGTGTTGTGCATTTGCCTATCAATCTATTTGTCATTCCAACCTAGGTAGAGAGAAACTGTAACATCCCGGACCTTGGATCATTCCAAAATCATGATTTTTTTCTTTATAAACGGAGTCAAAATTTTGATCATAATTGATAAATTCATACATTGATAGTAAAGGGCCACAAGTTACGTTTAAGTGATACGAATAAGGTATATGGTTAATGGTCATTGCATGACTTCTCACCTTGAGTAAACAACAATCTAATTAAGCAAATACATGGAAACGAGACAAATACTTCCATGCATACATCTGACGTGGAGCTATCCCATTTTTGGATGAAGAACCCATTATGGTTAATTGCAAATGGACACCACTATCGTGTATTATATATATGAACGCAAGGAAGGAAGAGGGCCACATCCCCAATTCATATTTTTGTATAAACAAACCCTAATGATCCACCATTTTCAAGAGCTGTGTGGAACCAGAGATTGGATTGAGAGTTAATATCCAACAATAGCTTTGTCGAATAAGTAAAGGATGTGTCTGGGTTGCTGTGTGTATATATATAGAGCGAAAGCTCGTTCGATGACCATAAGTCCCAATGAATGGAAGGAAGGAAATAGAGAGATAAGAGAGGGAGTCTCGAGTGTTCTAGATTTGGGGAGGTTTCCATAGAGGTCGGAAAAGGTTCTTGCAAAGTCAGAAAAGCCGTCGAAGCCTCACCGGAGCCTCGCTGGTGTTCCGCCGAAGTTTTGTCGGAATCCCGTGACGGCGACGACATCAACTCCAACCTCAAACATTCTTCAATTGGTTGGTTCCTTTGCGAAGAGGGTGATCCCAGAAGCACACACGTTTCGACGGAATCAATTTTTGACGTCGGACGAGGGAGAAACGAGCCTCGCAAGTGGGCCACGTAGAACTGTCAGTTTCTGAAAGCCAGGTATTGTTTCTATCAATTTGATAGGATTGAGGACTTGGATGGACTTTTTCCATAGGAAGGGTCAACGACCAGTTTGACTGGAAAATTTCATATACAATACTTGGAATTTCGAGAACTGACAGAATTCGTATTTTGGCTGTAATTCATTCGTTTGATGTCCAAACGACGAACTATTTTCGCTACAAGATCGTAGAGACGAGGAGAATTTTATCAATGAGTATTGGAATTTTTACAGCAGCTGTGCAGAGTTGATTTACGTCATAAATAAGGTGTGTGGACCATGCGGTGAATAGGCGGTGTTTTTACTACGTGCTATGTGTTTAATATTGGAACATAGCTGAGGTTTTAACGAAGATAAAATGAAGAATGTCGTTATTATGATTTTGATAATCGAGTTTTCGGGTGGGGTGTTACAACGGGTATCAGAGCCTTGAGTTTTCGGTGGGGTGTTATAACTGGTATCAGAGCCTAGTTAGCCTTCTGCATTATAGTTATGTTACTTCCACCCCTGAGGACAAGCTACCCTCAGCAAGGGAGGAGTACTCCATACCCGTACTTGCACTAGCCTAGCTAGGGACTGAGACTATAACATGATGATGTGTGCTTAGTTTGAGTCAGTTGCATCATTTTGAAAAGTTATTTCTGCATTTTTGAACGAGATGGGAAAGAGTTTCCTACGATTTTATTTAAACCTACCTTTTAAACGAGAACTAAAAATTGATTTTTCCTCCTCCATAGCGACCAATCAGAGCATAACAGCTACACACCTCCAGCTGGGAATCCACAAGGGACGGGAGTGACGATGGAAGTATTGTGGAAAAACCGTCTACGCGAATTCAAAGGGGAGTCGACAGATCCCCAAGAAGTTGTCGACTGGCTTAGAGAGACGGACGTACAATTTGACTACCTCTGTTACAACAAGAGGCAGAGACTGGAGGCATTGATAATGCTTTTAAAAGGACATGCGCTGCGTTGGTGAAAATCTCAAAAGGCAGGAATAACCTTTCCACCAACCATCTCATATCAGGAGTTTATGGTCTTGTTCAAAAATAATTTCTTCCCTCAACAATGGTTGAACCAAAAGAGGCGAGAGTTTGACAATCTGAAGCAAGGAGATAACACAGTCATGGCTTACTACCTTCGATTCTTTGAACTTTCCGAATGGTTCAATATGGAGGAGGACTGAGAGAGGAGGCTAGCTGAACAATTCCTCGATGGTCTTCGGCCAAACACCAAGGCAGGAGTATCTTCGGGAGACATGACTGACCTAACCAGTATCAAACAGGTTGCACTAAGGAGAGAATGCATAGAGGATGAAAAGAAGCAAGCATGGAAAGAGAAAGGCGAAAATAGAAAGGCACACACCCAACCTTCACTATCAGCTGGAAATAACCTGGCTCGAAGGTTAAACCAAACCTACAGCGGGCAAGGCATTGCACGTTCAACTACACGTGCCAACACTGGGCCTGCCGGATACCTGCCTTGCCAAGTTTGCGGGAGGATGCATATGGGAGCGTGCAGAATGGCATCCTAATCAGTGGTCCTTGTATGCTACACTTGTGGTCAACCTGGACACAAGAGTTATCAATGTCCTTCCAGTCGTGCAACACCTATGCAATCAGAGGGATCTGTGCAAGGACCAAGAGCTTTGTCTAGGAGTGGGACAAGAAGAGGAAGTCAAGGTGGCGACAACAATTTTAGAGGGACTGGAGCAAATGCTTATCCATTGGGAAAACAAGGATCCCAAGCAGGAGGACACGGAGTGGGGACACAATCAAAGGGCAGAGTTTTTGCTCTTACTCGTGGCGTCGTTTAGACCGCTCTAGATGTGGTCACTGGTACTATCTCTTTTATGGGCCATAATTTATATGCATTATTCGATATTGTATCTTCACACTCCTTCATATCGGAGAAGTGTGCATCAAAATTTCCCATTATGCCAGGAAAATTGAGTACCAGTCTAGGTGTACGAACGCCTCTAGGTACTTTAGTAAGGGTAGATCGAATTCTACCTAATTGTTGTATTAAGATAGAATAAGTGAAGTTGGAGGCAGAATTAATCATCCTGCCTTTCAACGAATTTGATGTCATACTTAGGCTATCTCGACACGGAGCTGTGTTGGATTACCAGAAGAAGGAGGTGCCTCTATTTGACGGGCTTGGAAGACAAATCGTGTTCCGAGGCTTAAGAAGGAGAGAGTCGGAACCAATGGGCTTGATCTCGGCAATGGAAGCATAAGCGTTGGTGAGAGACGGATGTCAAGCATTCCTCGTCCAAGTGGAGACAAAGAAGGAGGAAAAGCTTGAGGAAGTCAAGGTCATAAATGAATTTCAGGATGTATTTCCTGATGATCTCCCCGGAATCCCCATAGAACGAGAGGTGGATTTTAACATCGAGTTGGTACCTGGTACTGCCCCGATATCAATTCCACCATACCGAATGGCGCCAGTGGAACTAAAAGAACTCAAAGAATAGTTGCAAGAAATGTTAGACAAAGGGTTCATATGACCAAGTACTTCACCTTGAGAAGCACCAGTCTTGTTCGTGAAGAAGAAAGATGGATCTATGCGAATGTG